GCTAGCAGCCTCGCACCGAGGACCTATCCACGTCATCATTTACCCAGAATGCTTTGTGTGGAAATAAAATGGCTCCGTCCATGTAATATATGTTTCAAATTTAGTTTAAAAGTGATAAAAACTAAACAGCCTACAGTATTTTTACAGTCTTTATTTTACAGTTAAAATATTTGTTTATCAAATAAAGTCTAATGTTACAACTAATCGAGGATCCTTTAAAATGCATCCAGTGGTTCATGAGATATTTTGCTAACAGACAGCTAATGGTTTGATCAGCTGCAAATGTGATCCAGTTTGGCGTTAGCCTCATGAACTGGTGTGTTTTTCAGGTTCTGATCGGGCCGGCGAGCCCAGAACACGGACCCCTGCGGACACCATGATCCCTTTCTCTGTCTGAGGTACCAACAAACACACGGAGCTGCGTGTTTCCAACACCTCCACGTGTTCCTGGAACAAAACAGCCCTGACTCTGGAATCATCCCTTTGTGACTCGGAACAATACGAAGCTGCAGCAAAGCATGCTGGGAGTTCTGCTCACAGTCTGAGAATTACATCCAAACAAATAATCTGACCAGGGCCAAATCCTGCTGTCACGAGTCCCAGATCAGGTCTCTGTGGTTAGCCTAGCTTAGCACAAAGACTGGAAGTGAAGGGAAACTGTTAGCCTCCTGCTTTTTACTCATCTGCTCTGATTTAATCCAGTAAAACTTTTCATCCTGCATGATTTATTTTTACAACATAAAATTATTATTATTATTATTAAAGTTATAAGCCTGTGTGTTGGTGACAGAGTTGTGCTGCTCTCAGATCAGTTAGTGGACTGGACCCTGCTGGATTCAGGACATTGAAAGAAACAATGTTTTTTTTTGTTATTGAAAACTGAAAAATGTTAAAAATATAAAAACGTATTATTCTGAAGGTTTCCCATCATAACCGTTTTTCATTTTTCACAGTTTAACTTTCATTCTGCATCTTTTACAAACCATTCATGTCTCCCTCAGGATCTGACCAATCAGCAGTTATGATGATGCCTAAGGTGAGCACAAAGACGTTTTATTTGTTATTGTTTAGATGGATGAAATATTTATTATTACATCACTTGGTTCAATTTTCTTTTTCACATATAGGAAAAAACAGAAATGATGTTTTTTCATGTTTCATGTCAACATAAAGCTGCTGAAAGACTGCTGACCTCTGACCTTGGTGTGTGTGTGTGTGTGTGTGTGTGTGTGTGTGTGTGTG